TAAATAGGCTTCAGATTTTTTTAACTAATTACTCGCTACAGTCGCTACTTCCTCAAACGTAGTATACTAAGCGTAAATGTGATATTCACTATTCATTAATTAATATGATGACAGGAGTAAAAGTACCTCTACCTATACTTTTGAATTCCAGGAAATACTTTTTTTTTATTGCCCTTGTAGGCAGACGAGCATACGGCCCACCTGATGGTGAGTGGTTACCGTCGCCCATGGACTTCAGCAATGCCAGGGGCAGAGCCAAGCCGCTGCCTACCGCTTAATACTCTCCACAAGCCTCTTTTAAAGAAGGATATGTCATAGCGCTCGGGAAACACAATGCGTGTATTAGTTGGAAAAAAAAACTTTTATAATATATTTAAGATATAAGTTTGGTAATTATATTGATCTATCAATCAAAATCCTTTGTGTATGTATTAAAAAAAAAGTACATAAATAAACATACAAACATACATAACGACTTTATTTTTTTTTGATAATTCGTATATCAATTTTTGAGAAAAAATTGTAGGTATACTTACTCGTTTATTTTTCGTACTTTGTGAGACGAATACACAAATATAGTTTTAAAACATTTTAGTACTTTTAATACATAATTTGAATAAATTAGTCTAAGGTTCGGGCACTATTGTCACTTAAAGGAGGATTAACTTTTTCAATCAAATTTCGTCTCCTAAAGCGTTGCATCCAAAGTAATCTCGTTTTAGCGTTACCGAACACCCAAAAAATTATCGAAAAGGGACAGTGATACATCAAAAATATATTTCCAATTAACAAAACATACGTTGATAAACTATATCGATAAAGAACTATGACGTAGGCTATTTTATAGCCGTCCAGTATTAACTGCTGTACACAAAACATACAAATCAACAAGATCATAACAAAAACAATCCTAGAATTTTTCCCGGCACTGTTTTTGTTGGTTTTCATAACAGATCTCAGTATTATTATCAATAGCACTGCGGTACCTATTAAAACAGGCCATTTTACCAACAATATATACATATAGAAATACTGAAAGTCACTATCGTTTTGTAAATAGAATAGACAATACAGTATCACTGATACGATCCCGGGCAAAATCCAAGTTAACAACGACACTTTTATTATATTCGGTTTTTCAATAGCAAACACTTTCACTAAACTATCGTACATTTGCTTCGTGAAGACGAACATCCAGGAAATGAGAGTCCCTTCCGTGTAAACCATGGAGAATTGGTCGAGATAAATGATGCAGTCATGTCTCACGCAGAATCCAAACACCCTCTTGACGTCGTAGAAATATCTAACGAAAGTATAAATAAATCTTGCTATCATGAATTGAATGAGGAGTTGATTTTTATAGCTTTCCCTCCATTCTTTGAAGAGAATGGCCGTTAATATTAGTAAAATTACCGTCGTGGCCGATAGCAGTATGCCAGCGGTGCTAAGAGAAAACGTAAAAGCGGTGAAGAGATTACTGTCATTTGTAGGTGGTAACACGTTCGTCCCTTGTTCTACTTCTAGAACGTTCATTGTATTTTGAAGAATTGTTTGTGTTATCTCTATTATTTTTTGTTATCTCTCAAATCTCTTGATTTTTTTCTTCATATTTTAGAACTTGCTGGCCGTCGATCCATTGCTTATTCGCGTAAAATTTCACAATAATAAGGAAACATTCAATATTAATATAATAATCTCACAAAAACATATAATTAAACACGTCTATTATTTGCTACATTTATAATTGACTGAAAATAATTCAGTGACTAGAGATTAATGGCCGACAAAATATAGTGTTATCGTAAACTGATTAATTAGATTGCGATAATGAGCTTAGGTATTCCCAGATATTGTGGTTATTTTTAATAAGAGTTAATGGTCCACCCATTCTTAAGTACGTTAGGTAGGTCACAACTTAAATACCACCACCCACCTTAATACACGAAGCTCGATCTCTTTCTCGAAGTTTTAATTATTATTGTATTGTAATATCGATGGGATGCATCTTTTTGTTTAGTTGGAATAGTCATTAGTGCCGCCATGTGCAGACTCATAGCATGTTTTGAAAAAATATACTAGTTTCAGGATATATATTTATATTTAAAAAAAACAGTTATTGTTAAATACATGATAGCTGTTTTAGACGTAGCTTATCTGGAATTTGTTTTATAATTACTGTTAAATTGTTATCTACATAGATAAATTCGTTATTCAAAGACTGGATTAGACTGTTTTTCAAAAATGAATAATAAATACCCATTCATTTTATACTGTCGTACAATTTGAAACGCATCTAGTTTTAGACTTACTGGCTAGCTATTTATTATATAACTTTGCTTCACTGCAGCAAGTTAAATGGCAAATTAAAGTCTCAATATTTCATTTACATGAAATTCCATGATTCCACCTGAACAGATTAAATGTTGCTGCTGTTTTAGACTGTTCATTATTATTTTGAAACATTTTACTCTGATAGTGTATACGCATGTACCACCACTCTGCCTATTTCTTTTTTCTTACTGGCTGCTGGTCAGTGTCTTAAATTGTACTACAAGAACTACGGTAAGCGGCGGCTTCGTTTTGCCCCTAGCATTGCTGCAGTCCATGGGCCACGGTACCTACTCACCATCAGGTGGTACGAACAACTGGTGGTAGGACCTCTTGTTAGTCCGCATGGGTAGGTACCACCACCCTGCCTATTTCTGCCGTGAAGCAGTAATGCGTTTCGGTTTGAAGGGTGGGGTAGCCGTTGTAACTCTACTGAGAACTTATGACTCATATCTCAAAGTCGAGTGGCTGCATTTACGTTGTAGACGTCTATGGGCTCCAGTAACCACTTAATACCAGGTGTGGTCGTCCACCTATCTAAGCAACAAAAAAAAACAATTATTTTACTACAATAAGCAAAACACATTGTGTATTTATGATTTTATTTATTTCAATATGTGCAAGATTGTATGTATAATTTCAAAAATTTAACATACATAGTATGTGTCAAGATAAAAATGTCATATAGCTTTAGTGCAGATTTATTATTTTTAGGCTTTAGTATAGATACCTTGATATAATTAATTTACCACAAAACAAAATTAAATGTTTGGTGTGTTTCGTAAATCATTCGTAGCATATTATTAAAAAAATTAAAACGTGTTTGATTTACGGTAACTGAAATTAAAAACGATTTTCAATTAATTTCTGTGTAAATAAATCAATTTTTACGGTTTAATCTTGCGTTTTTATTGTCATTATATGACTTCTAATGTTTCGAGTATTTTACAGTTTTCGTGGTAGCGGATGACTAAAAGTTTTATTCGACATTTGAATATTTTGTTAACTGCCGCCTAATTTTCTTAAAAAATATTTAGAGAATTTCATGTTACACTTCCCATATAAGGAATGAATAGTATGACTTGAGGTCTGGCAGTTTGTACGACTTTGGTTTTCATTATCGTCATAAGACGATCCTAGGTTTTTTTTTTTTTTTTATTGCCTTTGTAGGCAGACCGGCATACGGCCCACCTGATGGTGAGTGGTTACCGTCACCCATGGACTTCAGCAATGCCAGGGGCAGAGCCAAGCCGCTGCCTACCGCAGGTGTTAGATAAGCGCCAACTAACTTCTCCATTAATGCTAGGTGACGAAATAAAATGCGAGATTAAATCGTAAAAGTTGTTTTAATTATATCTAAGAGTCGCAAGAACCGAAGAGAGTAGTAATTTCTGTGTCATCATCATCATCAGCCTATAGCAGTCCACTGCTGGATACAGGAAACTTGCTTTGAACTTCACTAAAGGATTTTTTACAAATAAAACAGCACATAAGAAACACGGAGAATTTATATTTTCAGATATAATGCCATGACAGGTCCAAAACAAAGCTCACCTCGGTGAGTGATTAGAAACAATACATATTTTATAAAATTCTATACAAATAGTTAACAAGTAAACAGAGCCTAACAACTACATGCATAAGTAGCCGCTTCACATTCTTGAGGACCAAATATACAAGTCAGTTTTAAAAGGACTCAACAATGATATAATTTGATCTACCATCACTGGATTTTTGTTGAATCTCGATCGTTATTATCCAACCGAGTCCTCAAACTGCACTTCCAGATAGATTCCTTTCCTGCTCTGTTTATGTGAGAAATACAGGACGAAGCGTGAATCCAGGCAGGTATACTTAAGTATTGAAGTAAGAGCATTTCAGCGAAAAACCGGTCATAAACTAGACATCTAATTTAAGTGCAACTACTTAGAATAATTATTGCATTTTTCAAAAAATTTCAACATTTTTAAGTAAAATCTACGTATTTTTAAATACTTCGTAAATGTAGATACGCTATATAGATATATAAGGGACATGTCCACATTAATTACCGTGCGTTGTTGGAATAGCCCATTTGGCTATCAACGATTATGTAGGAGAAAAAATACATTCATACAGTAGAATTATTGGATTTGAGTTTTTGAAAAAACAAGTAGTAATTATGGCAATGAATGGAAAAACATTATATTCAGTGCGGTGAGCGTTTGACGAAGTGATTTTTATAGTGATTAATAACATCGCTTTTTTAGAAAATTTAAACTTAAAATAAAGATTAAGTGATAAAGGTACATCTAAATTTTCTTATAAGACATTAAATTTAGGATCTAAATTATATAGCTAATTTTATATTATGAATGACGTGTACTTATATAGAAGTCTTTATAAGGGATCACAGCTTGGAAAACTCTAGTTTCATACATCGACCAGGGAGATTTTAACTAGAGCTAATAAACGACATTTATGTGAAATTTGCTACGACTAAGTAAACATTACAATTTATTAAGTTTCGTAAACTATTAAAATGGCAACGCTAACCGAAATTTTAATTTCACTAAATCGTGATCATGGTCACGTTGAAACTTTCAAACATAAACTATTTTTAACCACTTATACTAACCTACTAATAACTACTAAGCACAAACTTCATAAGCTATATTTAAATTGCTTGAAATAATTCATATTAATAATAAAACATTGTGAATCTCTACAGATAAGGCTTTTTACGTAGTCTAACGTGAACTGAAACCAGCTATTGGCTGAGATCTTGGGAAAGTATTTATATCAAATTTAATTTAATTAACAACACAATTTAAAGTATAGAACAAAAACTGAGAAAATCAAATTATTCGATGTGATCTTAGAAATAGGCTAAGAAGATTCACTTACAATCATCAAGTCTTAAATACTATTAAAGTTTTGTAAACTTAAAATCGGGATAAGTTTTTTGGCTTTTCCAAAAGAAACAAGTTCTTGAATCGATTTGACTAATTTCATAAAACCGAAGCAGAAATTACAAACAGTGAATGAAACATAAAAATTGTTTTACAATTCTGATAAAACGGGTCCTTATGATTAATTATATATTAAGGAGCTACATCTAGAAGATCACATTGCAGAGGCTTGATATCTAAGTGTATTCTATTAGAGATAATACATTAAACATTAAAAACGAAGTTCAAAGACAAAATTTAATGCCATAAAGATATTATTATTAAATGAAATATTCAAACTATTGTAAGTGCTACAATATCAGTAACCAAAGAAATTTAAATCAACAAATTTCTTAACACGAGACCAGCTCACGAACAAAACTTATTCAACAAGTTAACACTAATGAGGTAAAAATAATTCTAGAATTCAAAAAAACATTAGACGCTTCCAATAACTTACTCAACCATATGTTCTGCAAGAATGATAAAGGAACACAGTAAGTCTCGGTAGAATATTCCTCACTTATCTATGGATACATAAACTTACCTTGTTCTTCGACAGGGGTATGTTCTTCATCCGAAGAGTCAAATCTTTCGATCAATGAACTTTGCTTTGATAAGGACTGCAAAAATATTTTATATACTCGATAATTAGCCATTCTATACGCTTTTACTATACTTAGAAGAATAATATACCTTATTTGAGCGACGTCTTGGAGGTGATATCTTGTTCCACAAAGCTTCTAGTTGATCGAAATGTTGCGATTGAGCAATTGCTGCTTCCTCAGGACCAAGACTCACCTATTAATTAATTAAAATATAGTTAATTTTATAGTATACGTCTTCTAAAAATTTAAATTTGTATATTCCTACCTGTGAACCCAAATCCTTATTCTTGGCCTCCTGTATTTTGGATATTTCTTCCATAGAGGCAGATACTGAGAATCTGGGGATCATAAAGTAATCTATAATGTTGCATAAAATAAATAACAAAAAAATGTAAATTTAATGGAACAAGATTGCAGGCATCATGATAAATAATTTATTGGTACCTTCTTTTTAATCGTTCATCTACTTGAGCCATCATAGCCGCAGAAGTGAGATGTCCGTATTTCTTCTGCCACGTGTACGTATCAAGTGATACCTCCTTTTTCAGTAGCCTTCTCATAGGTCTTTTAGGTGCCAACGGACGTAATTCTGTCATAGTTAGTTTGAAAAAGGATTAGGGATAGCTTATAGTAGAGAGTAGGGATAGTTTGAAAAAGTAATAATAAGCGGATTCTATTTAGTAACCTAATTCACCATTCATTCGACGTAAAGCAATGTTTTAGAAAATAATAGCAAGTTAATGCTTTATTATTAAACTCACCATCCACGTCTTTGGTTGGCGCTGTATATGTTGGTATTTTAACGTAAGTTGCCGGTGTGTTGTGCAAACATATAATTGGTAGACAACCTGATCAAAAATAATCGACCGTTATTTTTTCGTAACGAAGTTTCTTCAACAAATAACAATAGCCATTAAAACTTAAACAACACATTACTTATCGTATAAGAATAACAGAACGGAGAACGTAAGATATCTTACTGATAGTAGAATTTGATCCTTAATATATAATTGTACAGGATATCATTTTCGATGAAGTATTAGTAATAGCTGTTTCCCAAATAAAAACAACAAACAAGTCCAAACAAGTTTTCCTCAGATTTTTGGAAAAAATCAAGCCCTCTTGGAGCTCAGTGGCTTAAAAAACTATTGAATATCATCTTCAAAACTAGATCGGTACTAAATTTATGGCGCAAAATTGTACCTTTTTATAAAAAGGAAGGAGACGTCACACAGTTCGGAAATATGTAATTAGCACTTTTCTATCGAGTTAATTAGAGGTGTACTTGCTAAAAACGTTGCTTTTTAAATGGTTTACATGAATAATTTCAAAATTAACATTACTTTAAATAGCTAAATTTTTAGATTTTTAGTGATACAAATCCTTCATTTCTATCAATATTTTTTACCTCTATCCAAAAGATGAACTACAACTCTCGCGCAGTCGCTTGTTATTTGAAATCCGAGTAAAGGGACATGTAATGAAAATGATGTCAAAGCAAGACCTCTTTTAGTTTCCCATATTATAAGAGTCTTGTCTTCAGCGCCTAAAATGAAGTTTGTGTTAATTAAAAAAAAACTTAACTTTACACTACATTTACGCAACTTAAGAAAACTTACAGGATACCGCAATCGTACCGTCCCCGGTTACTTTGACGCAAGTCACTTTCCCAAGATGTCCAGATAACAAATGCAGATCAGAACCAGTATTTATGTCCCACACAATAAGGTTGCAGTCCCAGGAGCCGGATACAACTTGTGTTTTGTTCGTTATTGATACTGCTACGCACGTAACTATGTCTGAGTGGCCGACTAATACCTAAAGCATTATTAATAGGTCACATATTTTCACTTTGATGCATGTGAGTAGAAGATGTATGGAAATGGTAGAGCAAGGTAGACGGGGAAAGAGGTTGACCGAAGAAGACATGGATGGAGTGTGTGAATGACGATATGAGAGAGAGAGGAGTGAGTGTTGAGTTGACGGCTGATAGAAGAGAATTGAATAGAAAAATTCGCTGTGCCGACCCCACCTACTGGGATAAGGTGGAGACAAAGAAGAAGAAGAAGATATTTTCACTTTGATACCGGGATCAATTAATTTCTAAATCTATTGGAAATTAAAGAAATAGAGTACTATATGGCGCTCAATTTCCAAATATTAAATCAACGTAAATTGCATCAAATTTTTTTTTTATAGTTTTAATTCTTCAAATTTGACTCCCTGCCATATGTTTCATAAAACGTTTAAGTTACGTTATAGTGGATGTGCCTGATCTACCTGCGACAATTTCCCTCCATCCAATTTCCAAACTTTCAGTGACATATCCATCGATCCAGTAACGACGTGTTGTGAGTCCGCGGTCAAAGCGAAACAGGTGATTCGTTCGGCGTGCGATACTGAACGTCTGTTGTCTTCTGAATTATCACCTCCAGCCAGAGACCAGATCCGCACTGAATTATCACCGTCCGATAAAACCTGTGATAAAGTTAAATAGTTTACTTTTACGCTTAGATCGGAATCTAAAGACTTAAAATATAAAGTTCACTGTAAAGCTCCTACTTCATAATGCAATATTTAAAATTTTGTTTCACCTTCGTTCTGATAACGACGGATTAATACATAAGAAACCTTTCGTATTCTGCATTTTAATAATAATATTGTATGACCTAAAACTCTTTAAATATTAAATCCTAAAGATCTCTAAATATTAAATCTGAACAGTAATTGCATAAATACTTACAGCATACTTCATATTTAAAGTGACGTCAATACTAGCTGACGGTCCGGTTGCAGAATGTAGAACTATACCAGAGTCGACGAGCCAGACGTGGACATTACGAGCCCTGTCACTTGACATTGCACGGCGCCCGTCCGACATCATCAGCAGGGTTTGAATTGCTGAGCTATGTCCCTAAATTATGAATACGAATATAAACATTGGTTTCCTTGACTCATTTTACTGCTCTATGCAAACAAGTCATCATTCTCCTGCCCTTCTCCCAGTCACCTGGGGTCAGCGCAACATGTTTTATCCTTCTATACTCTTCTATCATATACCATTTCTTCGATCACTCCCTTCTTATCCTTATCGTCTTTTACGCAATCCATCCATTTCTTCTTAGGTTTATCTCTTCCTCTATATCCTTCTACGTTCATAGTTAACATTCTCTTACCAACCTGATTTTCATTTCGTCTCATCAGATGTCCGTACCATCCCAAATGCGCACTTCTCAGCTTCTCTGTCACAGGTGCCACTTTCAGACTTCCTCTAACATATTCATTCTGTATTCTATCCATTCTCGTTACTCCACACATCTATCGCAACATTCGCATCTCTACTGCATGCAATCGCCTTTCATAATTTCTCTATGCAAACAAGTACTAACCTTATATGTCAGTGAAGGAGAATTATCCGCAAGCTGCCAAACGACCACAGTTCGGTCTTCAGATCCACTCAGTACCAATAGATTGTTTGGTGAAAAGGTGACACAAGTTATATGACCTATATGGCCGTTCAGTGTTGCTTGTAATCTGTGTGTTGAGAGTTGCCAGACTCTGACAAGGCCACGAGCGCATCCACTGGCGCCAAGCTGTCCGTCTCGGGATACTTCAAGGCAGCTTATTGGTATTAAGTCGCTTTGCTCAGCCTGGTCACATATGGAATTTTGTTTATCTATATATTAATACGTGAAGCAGAAATTTTGTACCCCTTTTTACGGAAATTGCGCGGACGGAATAGTATTAAATTTCTCACACTTATAGAGAATATAGAGAAGAAGTGCAGAATGCTAATTTTTTTAAAATTAAAAGTTCTTTAAATCAATAAAGAAAACATTACACACACTACCATGTGCTTGACACACACACGCATACCTATATATATAAAGTCTGTGGTCAAATTGAGAATAGATTTTTTTAATTTTATGTTTAAATGTAGAATGTATTTGACAATAGAACCAGAAAATAATGTCCAAACTTATAATTTCAATTAATTATAGTCGAATTTCGACTACAGAGGGACCACTAGTAAGACTAATGACACAAAAAATATTTTATGTTGTAAATAATATTTAAACTTACCTGAAGCAAAGTAATATTTGTGGTGGATTTAGTTTGACGTCTCTTCATTTGTTTTGTTGGTCTGAAATTAGTCAGGTTGTCTTCGGTATGAAATGAGTATATCGTAACTCTGTTTCCACCTAGAAAAAACGCCGTAATTATTTATTCATAAGATTATTGATAAATGAACGTGGAGCATGTCGAAAATAATTACTTCCACAAAGACTTTGCGTACACATATTTTAATTAAATCTGTCTTCGTAAACACAATTTCAAAAGTTCAGAATTTCAGAGTTCATCTTAGACGCATTATATTTTTTAGATTCCTTATAAAGTTTTTGTCTGTTGATGAAAGGGCTTTATTTCTTTTATTAAAAAAATGTAGATTGTTTCGGTTTGTATTTAAATTCTTTCATTTCATAACTTAATATTTGAACTTAAATCAGCCTTCACAGTTTTGTTTTTATCAAAAAAGCGACGAGCTTCCGTTTCATGTGCTCGCAAGTCTTCACTAATATTCGTGGAAATTGGCAATTTCAGGGATGTATTATAACAAAAAAGTTACCACTTTGTGAAGGAATGTCACGAGATTTCACTGAAATATTTCTTATACAAGCGTATTTAATGGGCAATATTGAGTCGCATATTACCTGACGACACATTAGCAGCGATATTTCAAAAACACACACTAAATGAACAACGGCCGTCTGGTGTAGTGGTAAGTGACATGGTCACTACACAAGGGGGTTGCGGGTTCGAATCCCGCCAAGGGAAGATATTTGTATGATAAATATAAAGTATTTTCCAGGGTTATGGATGTATATTAAATATATGTATGTGTATAATAAAAATCTTACATTTATTTCCGTTATCTGGTACCCGTAACACAAGTTCTTTACGAACTTATCACGGGACCAGTTAACGTGGCGTGATTGTTAGTAAACATTTATTATTTATTTATTTATTAAAAAAAATATATATATATATTTAACACATTCGTATCTAGTCGATTCGTGGCAGTAGGAGTAGCAGAAATATATATCGTATATAAAATATAAATATATAGTAATATGTAATACGTTACAGCAAAAAATATAGAATTCACAGTTCTATGTTATTTTACAGTCCGTAAAACTTAAGGAAAAAAGTCGATCCTGTAAATATAAATGCTATGGGTACGTACTTTACGTTGGAGTTATATATATATACGGTGGAATTCGTTCGTGGCTTTACTCCTGAGTACCAACGAGTTATCGAAGCACGGATAATTCAAGAGCGGCTTTTGTTATTAAGAAAAGTTTTGAATTCTTTAAATAACAATTTTGTAGGCCAAATGGTGGTTATGATAAGTTATATACCTACCTATTTTATCATTCGGGTTCAAAAATAATTAGTGTTAACAAAAATACAAGCTGTTGAATTAAATTATGGTATTTATGTTTTTTTTGTTGCCCTTGTAGGCAGACGAGCATATTGCTCACCTTTTTTTTATTGCTTAGGTGGGTGGACTAGCTCATAGATCACCTGGTGTTAAGTGGCTACTGGCGTCCATAGACATCTACAACGTAAATGCGCCACCCACCTTGAGACATAAGTTCTAAGGTCTTAGTATAGTTACAACGGCTGCCCCACCCTTCAAACCGAAACGCATTACTGCTTCACGGCAGAAATAGGCAGGGTGGTGGTACCTACCCGTGCGGACTCTCAAGAGGTCCTACCACCTAATGGTGAGTGGTTACCGTCGCCCATGGACAGCAGCAATTCTAGGGGCAAAGCCAAACCGCCGCTTACCGTAGTTCTTGTAGTGCAATTTAAGAGACTCACCAGCAGCCAATAAGAAATGGTCTCGATCGGCAACAGCTAATGCTGCTAAGTCGTGTGCCACAGCCAATGTCCGGAGCAGTTGGGCGCTGTGTAAGCTATATAAATATATGCGTTGATCGGCGCAACCGACCGCTACCCGAGACGAGTCATGAGCTACACAGAAGCACTTTACCTGTGAAACAAATGTACCTTTTCAACCCTTATTAACGCAATCATCCTATTCTATCCGTTGCTTAATTGTTTTTCACAAATTAAAACGCTTCCTTTAATATCTTCAAGCTGCAATTTACTCTTGTAATTTAACGAGGGGTGAAAGGATGTTTGGTCTAAGCGATATTTTTGCAAATTTACAGGAGAACCATTTCAAGTGTAAGATTTTTGAAAAATATCATAACAAGAATATTATTCAAATATTTGAATGAGTAAACTTAATTGAAATAAAAATGAATTACTGTTCGTTAGTCACGTTAAAACTCGAGAGCGGCTGGACCGATTTGGCTAATTTTGGTCTTGAATTATATTTGTGGAAGTCCAGAAAAGGTTTAAGAGGTAGATAAATATGAAAATGCTTGGAATTAAATACAAAAATAATAATTTTGTTTTTCCTATGATGTGTCCCCCGGCGAACGGATTCGTTTTGTTGGTTTTAATTTTTTTTTACACAAAAGTTTAGGTCTTTTATTTATCGATTGAGACACTACGAATTCTGCCGGGTCAGCTAGTTCTTGATACAAATACCAAATAAAATGGACCTTTAATTACAAAGATAAGTGTCGCGTATTAAGCGAAATGCCGTTTAAACCAAATCGTCTTTCATCCCTCTATAGTATATATTTTATACGAGAAAGGAAGCGCAAGATATCATAACGACGCTTGAAAGGCAAACGTGACTAAGCGACAATGCGTGAACTTTACAGTAGACTAACTTAAAGTTGAAATACCTGAAAACAAAATTTATTTTAACGAATCCAGCTGTAGCAGAATCTAGCTAGTAGCTGTAGGATTGAAATGATTTTAATAGACCTAGAAATATATATTTTTTGGGCATCGAATATTATTATTGCCTATCATTTATGTACAAAGCAGTTATTGTCGCTTAGTCACGTTTGCCTTTCAAGCGTCGATAAAAAGATTATAGTGCAGAAGTCAGTTCATTAACCACTTGTCTTAGCCTATAATTAGTACTGAAGAAAGCTACTGTAAAAGCATTAGCTGATAAACGACGTGGTGCAAATTATGTAACAATACTTATTTAACTGGAAAATAATGACATATCTTACTCAGTTCTGAAAACTTTTTAGTTAGAGCATTAAACTATTGCACTGCCGATTGCACATATAATTGAGGTGACATCAGTCTTGTACTTATTATCAATTTGCATTTTTTTTAATTTAATGATCATTTTCTTGGTGTAACTAAATAAATAAAATTCTTTAACACACGTACATACTGCCTTTTTGTAAATATTTCATATAAATATTTCATGTAAGAGTTATTGATTTTTTATTTGACTTTATATTGATTCGCCTGGTTCTGAACTGACTGTATTGTGAGATCAGTTAATTAATAATTAAGAAACAATGAATACCACAGAGTTATTATTGTGTAACTATACTTGAGACCTTAGAACTTACGTCTCAAAGTGGGTGTCGCATTTACGTTGTAGATGTCTATGGGCTCCAGTAACCACTTAACACCAGGTGGACTGTGAGCTCGTCCACCCACCTAAGCAATAAAATAAAAAAATAATAAAATTGTGTTTTTCTTTCAAAGATTACGATTTGGGAAAGTTCAATAATATACTATGTAGTAGGTATTACAGGACCGTCATCTGGCTTCATAATATTAAAATCAAGTGGATATTAAGACAAAACGAAAAACTGAACTGTTTTTCATCCATTTAGATTTGTACTCTTTTTTCACAGTCCAGCAATGTTAGAGAACTGTTCGAAGAATACTTCACTCCCTCGAGGGCGCTTATTTGAAATCGATCGTAATTTATTTCTCGTATAAACGGCAAAGTGGATG